CTTGATATAAATAAATTAATCAATTTTAAACCATGACCAGAATCTTGGATCTACATAAATCTGATCTAAATCTTCAGCATCCAACTCTGCTTCCATACCCCTCACTTTACATTTACTTTTCCAAGAACTTTCATAGTAGTGCTCCAGAATTCTACATTTTGCATAACTTTAAATGCTAGTGTATCAAGCAATGATTATTGTATTACCAAGATATAGGTATAAGAGTATACAGGGTGACCCATTTGAAAAGTTTACCGATGAATGGCCATGTACAAAAGAAACCACTGGACAGAAGAAGCTGAAACTTGGCATGTAAACATTTTGAAGTATGGGCTTCTCGAATCCGTAGAAAAAAAAATTAGAGAGTGTCAAAAGATGGCACCACCAGAGCGTGTCACGTGGCCAGCGAACTGTACAAAAGATCAGTGGATGACCACGGACTGGAAGAGTACGGAACCTAACCAGTGCAACTCAACATGCCAGCGCTCACTACGAGGATGGAACTGATACAGAAGTTTTACGAAAACGGGAGGAATGCGGAGGCCGCCTTAAGGTCGTACCGTCGAAGCGACAGCATGCGCCAAGGTCCATGCTCGCGAGCAGCGTTGGGAAAGCTTGTGGCAAAATTTGAAAAGGCAGGATCTGTGGTCAATTTGAAGAAGAGAAGAGGCCGCAGGGTTTCCGAAGACATGGCTACAGAAGTGGCATTGACTGTAGAGGAAGAACGCGCGACATCGCCTGTTGGTATTGCCAGTGCAAGGGCTGTTGCACGTCGCACTGGAATACCGGTAAAGACTGTTCGGAGGACGATGAAAATTGCCCTTCGGCTGTTTCCATATCGAATTCATCGAGTTCAGGCTTTGTCAGCTGCCGACATGGAGAGGCGCTACAACTTTGCAATGGAGTTCCATGCGCATGTGGAAATTGATGAAACGCGATTTGGAAACATCCTTTGGAGTGATGAAGCCCACTTCACCCTCCATGGCACGGTCCACACCAAAAATTGCGTTATCTGGGCAGAGGAGAACCCCTGCGCCATCGTCCAAGAGCCTCTCCTCGATGACAGTCACCGTATGGTGTGGATTCACACAGGACTTCCTGTTGGGCCCCTTCTTCTTCGAAGAACCCACACAGCGCGGTTTCAATACCGTCACTGTATCAGGAGAGCGCTGCAGGCGGTTATTAGAGCAGTACGTCATCACGAACCTGCAGCAGCGAAACGTTCTGGATGAAGTTGTGTTCATGCAGGACGGTGCCCCTCCTCATGTCTCCAGAAACGTTAAAGCTCTGCTCCAACAACATTTCGGAGATCGCATAATCAGCAGACACTTCCCATTTAAATGGGCTGCTCGATCTCCCGACCTCACACCAGCCGATTTTTGGTTGTGGGGATACCTGAAGTCCCGTGTTGATCGCCATGGTCCCACCACGCTGGTTGACCTGAAGACTGCCATACGGCATGAGATCGCTTTGATCCCAAAGGAAATGCTCTCAGCTGCAGTTGGGAATGTCCTACCCCGCCTGGAGGCCGTCGTCGCTCAGCACGGAGCCCACATCGAGCAGCAGCTCCAGTCAGATCGCTGTAAGACTTGTGCCTCACCATGCTTGTTTGTCACATCCTTAGAAGCCTATGCTGCCAGTAGTTTGCATGCCAAGTTTCAGCATCACCTACCCAGTGGTTTGCTTTGCAATTGACCACGTGACATGCGCTGGTGATGCCAACTTTTGACGCTCTAATTTTTATTTTTTATTTTTCTACGGATTCGAGAAGCCCATACTTCAAACTGTTAACATGCCAAGTTTCAGCTTCTTCTGTCCAGTGGTTTCTTTGTACATGGCCATTCATCGGTAAACTTTTCAAATGGGTCACCCTGTACTTGGTGAAGTCACATGCATGGTAATGATGCAAATGACCAAAGCCTACATTTAAAAAATGCATTTGATTACTGACAAAAATGAACGTCATGTGCATCATGACCAAATAGGGTAGAGGCACCAGTTTGTGGACGAGCGCCTATTTGTAGACAGTTTCACGTTTTTTTGCCATTTCACAAAATTCACGCTGAAAATTTATTTCCTCAATTGCTCCATATTTTGCACTTGCTTATCAGCTACCATATAAATTATGCATACCCATCACTATGAGTGAACTCGAACATTTTCCCTTAGTTTTGGAACTCGCAACCCTGAATTCCTTAATTTTTCCTATGATTTTTCTTAACAGGACATCAATGAAGATGGATAAAACTGCTGTACATATCTCATGCCCATATTTTTCTACTCAGCCCATGCACGTTCAAACTGGTGTCCATAAACTAGGTCTGTGGATGTCCACAAACTGGGACCAGGCCGTCCACAAATAGGAACCACGTGAAAATCAACACATATCCATTTAAACAGCTATTGCTGGAAAAGTATATTTTAAATATTTTACTTTAGGATATGGGCATGAAACTATGATAGGTGGCATCCCATTGAAACCAATCAAGCGGTTTCTCAGTTACCCCAGCAACCGTAATGCAAATTTCAAGAGGAAAATTTTCTTAACCTGTCCAAAAACTGGTGCCTTTACCCTACCTTCTTTTTGCCAACTTTTTTTTCTAATGTCTTACTTCAGGAATTTAAACTCAACTCTGGATCAAGTTCTGCAGAATGAATATAGTACTTCTCTTTGTGGAAAAAAAGTCAATACCAAGATGTCATAATATAAGTTATTTTATATCACTGGTGCACAAAAAAAGACAAAAAAGGCAAGCATCCCAAGTGATAGATCACGTGCCGTGGTAAGAAGAGATCAAGAACAAGCTGAATGACCCCTTCATCATGCATTTTCTTGAACCTGCAAGATAATTGAGAGATTAAGAGTTATTTTGGAAAAAAAAAATTCATAACTGGAATCAGAATACTGCTGCTACAGGCAGAGTTTATCAGTATCATGAACAAAATCAAACAAACATTAAATAAATTCTGGGAAAAGAAAACAAAGCTATGTAAAATCAAAGCGAATGGGTTAGTTGGCTTTCCCAATGATGATGTGGGTGATGAGTTAGTCCTTATAATCTTTCCTCAGTGTCCTGGTTAAAGTGATCCACTCATAAGTCATAAAGAATTAGGGAAATATGGGAATTGATAGTACAATATCTCTACTTCAAGTACATGAATCTTAAATTTGGCATACTTTCACATAATTTGCCAAGCATTCCTTCTCAGGGTTAGCCTAGGAATTTTGAAACATATGCTGACAGACAGGTTAAAAGGAACACACGCTCAGTTGACAAGGTACATCAACTTAACTTTCCGAAGGTAAATTACATTATTCCATAAAATTTGCAAAATTAAACCCTATCATATCTGATTTTGACTAAATTTGGCAGATATGCTTCTCCTACCTCCAAAACCCAGCATTTCAAGTTCAACCTGTTTAGGTCAGCAGATCAAATGACACAGAGGGTCACCAGCTGACTTCTGATGATGTTGAATGCCTCATAACTTACAAACTATTCAAGCTAAAGACTTAAATAATTCACTGAAATTTTCATGAAAATTTAAGAACGATATGAAATTTTCTCATGAATAAAAAAACCCAATATTATTCATCAACAAAATAGATGACCTTTGACCTTGAGATGAAACCCTGCTTGCAGTAAAAAATATGTAGAAGAGTTGTGAAATGTCTGCTAATGATATACACAACTGCAAAATACTAAAATACTAAAATACTAAAATACAAAATAAAATACAAAATACTAATTTCCTCCAAGTTCAGCAAAAAAATATTTTGTCAACATATCAGTACCACCTACAATCTATTGTAATATTGATAGGGCCAGGGAAATGCAGCTGCTACTCTCTCATCAGCAGGCAAAGAAATCAATTTCTGTTGTAATAGACCTGAACATTCTTCTATTGCCAGGCAAGAGCCACCTGTCTTTCACTGAAACAGAATTTCAATCCCAGTTCCCTAACAGGTTGACTGACATGGGGCACACTGCTGTGCCTCACTAAGTCCCTTTTCCTGCACCATGGGGTGCACCAGTGCACCCCGTGTTTCACCTTCTCCAAGGGATGTAAAAATTTATTTTGGCCCAGGAAAGTCACCAGCCCAATATGGCAGTGATGGTCAACATGTTAAATACAACAGAATTTCTTTTGATTTCTAAATGAAATTTGGTGATCTGCTTGCATGGAAGATTTTACAAATAGACAGTAATGGTATAAAAAGTACACAAAATAAAGAATTGCACAATAAAAAGAGAAAAATAACCAGTGATGGAAAAAGCCACAGAAAATTCCAACAACTAAGTATGTGTAGTACACACACACACCTGTTACAACATGTGCCTGCAGGAGGATAACCTATGTCATTGCAATGCAACATAAAAATGTGACCCCTTCCAGCTCATTACAGCCACTTCATCATTAAAACCTATTTTCTCAGAGACAGATATAAATTACCCCAAAGGGCTCAAATCAACCCATTCTATGGAGTTCATCAGTTGATAAGGAATGGTCAGGCAAAAAATTTTTTTAATGATGATAGCTTCTTGAAAACTGAGAGTTCTTCTAAACCCATGATGTTCAATACATTCGTCACTTGCCACATGTGGCAAATCAGTCACAAACACGTGTCGAATTGATGCTCTTCATCAACTCTTCTTTCAAAAGATTGTGTATTCATTTTTTAATTAATACTGCATATATTTTGTATATTGTGGTGAATATGCAGACTTGATTGCCACAAGTTCGGTGAGCACGAAATCCTATTGGACACCAATGTTCTGAACAGATTCAGTGTATAGATAATTTTTTTGTCTTTCTTGAATATAGACAGTTGACAAATTTTCCTAGTATAATCATCATATGATCAAATTCTACCCTCATTAACAAATTCCAGAGAAAACATCTATTTGGAAACTGCAAACCAATAAAAAGGTCTAAGAGCCTCTCAGATATCTGCTATAAGAGTGAGGAAGAATGGAAAAAGATGTGTGACTCACACATCAGCTGCATTCAGAGAAATCACAGTCGAGGTCACTTTCAGCTGTCTTAAGAAGCTCCTGTAAGGGAAGATGGTGGTCTGCTGTCTGTCCTGATACCAGATGTCGCACATAAGGTTCGAGATCTTCCAAACACTGGATGCTCTTTACTCCCTTCAGAAGGGGCCTATTCCCCTCATCAGGTATCTCAAACATCTAGATAAAACAAAAAGTAAATATGGACTTGCACTTTTCTCATCATGGTACACAAGATGAGGCAAGGAACTAAGTCCTCAGTCAAGTAGAAAAAGTTCCATTTCTCTCATTAAGCTTCATCCCATTATTAGGTGCTGAAATTGGCACATTGTAATCCCCATTGCCTTTCACTCCCTTGGCTTTTAAACTTATTTTAATTGCTGCCAAAGCCTCTTCTCCATGTTCATCAACTGAAACAGAATCAAGTTCATGAGCAGGAGAAGATCTCTTATGAGTAATAATGAATTCTCTGCTATATATCTCTGTTACAAAATAATTTTTTCAAGCACTGGTTCATTGGCCTGAAAGCTGACATCCTGATTTAAAATGGCATTTCAGTCCACAAGTATACAAGAGACTAATGCAAATATTTTTAGCTTGTGCTGAAGAATGCTCCAGTAGTTAAAAAAATGAGCAGACTGCCTTCTGCCCCTATTGAGATAGAAAATGTGGAAATTACAGTGGAAGAGGTGGAAATTACAATTTGTTGTTTTGAGTCTAACAAGGCCAACCAATCACAAAAAAACTACTGTGAATTACACATAGGCCTCCTGTATTCCAGAGTTTGAGTACACAAGTAAGACTTTTCCCCTGGAATTGCTTGGATAATCTCTCTTATCCTTCTTGGATATGGAACTATACATGAATGGGCATGTTGGGAGTGGATGGGATTCAATAAAGCATTATCAAGTTCATTAGGCAGGTCAGGGGGCTTTCCTAAGACAAAAGGTACAATTTTCTTGACCTTTGTGGGTTGCTTGATTGTACAGAATTCCAGGCTTGACCTGACTCTGATCCTTGAAATTATGACTGACTGACATTGCTCCCTTACTCCCCATGGCCACACCCATAAGAAGTTGGAATTTGCTGAATTTAGAAATGAGATGAGATTTTCCAGGGATGCACAAAAGAAAGTAGTTCTGATGCATGCAACAGATTTAAACTTTGTTATATGGAACAATATTCTTCCATCTAATGAAAAAATGACATTGTAATAATGTATTAGGTTGTTGCAAAAGTCCTGTCGGTGTTGAATGTAACATGTTCTAATAAGACTTCCAGGCTTTGACAATTCCTGGCGAGTGGGTGGTAGGTATGGGTATATAAGGACAGTCTGTTGTATCTCACTCATCCCATCATCTCTCATGGCCTCTGAGAAATTCACGCCAACGCAGATCCATCTCCGTCACTGCATTCTCTTCCACTTCCACTCTCGCGTCGGAGCTACGGAAGCTCATCGCCGAGTGTGCGCAGTTTATGGCGGAGACATCATAAGTCTTCGCACGGTAGAACGATGGTTTGCCAAATTCTCTTCTGGAGACTACGACGTTGAAGACAGACCGCGGTCCGGACGCCCGACGGAGTTGGATTCTGATGCCCTGAAAGCAGAGCTGGAGAGCAACAGCCAGCAGACCACACGCGGATCGGCAAGCAGTCTCTCCTGCCACTATTCCACCGTATCCCGTGGCCTGGACAAGCTCGGCTTAGTGAATATGCTCGGCCGTTATGTGCCCCACGACCTTACACAGGCGAACAAGGACAGGCGGGTCGACTGTGCCACCGAACTCTTGACGAAGCGCCGGACACATGCTTGGCTCGATCACCTCATTACTGGGGATGAGTCGTGGGTCCTCTACGATACTCCCAAGAGGAAACACCACTGGCTGCGCTCCGGTTCCAAGCCTCCAGTACAGCCAAAAGGCAGTCTGCACCCGAAGAAGCTGTTGCTGTGCATCTGGTGGAGCGAACGAGGAGTTGAGTACTGGGAGCTGCTTCCAGAGAACTCAACGGTCACTGCCCGCATTTACACCACTCAGCTGGCAAATCTCAAAGCGAAACTGGACTCCGATCCTTACTGGGCAGGCCACGTGTTTTTCCAACACGATAACGCGCGCCCACACGTCGCGAACGTCACCCGCAGCACGCTACAGGGGTACGGCTGGGAAGTGATCTGTCACCCACCGTACTCCCCGGACCTTGCCCCTTCTGACTATCATCTATTCCGATCGCTGAAAAATCACCTGGCTGGGAGGAGCTTCACCAATCGACAGGCCATGGAAACCGGCCTCGCAGACTTCTTCGCCTCGAAGCCCAAGTCCTTCTACAGAGAAGGCATCCATGACCTGCCCAGAAGATGGACGAAGGTCATCTGCAACTATGGCGAATATGTGGTCGATTAGGCCTCGCTTGTTGCAAAGCTCTAAAGTTGAGAAAATAAAGTTGTCAATACCGACAGGACTTTTGCAACAACCTAATATATTTCGTTAAGCAGAACTTAGTTATATAGAAACTTTTCAACATGGATGTGAATGAGCAAATGGCTGGGAGCTGGAAATAAAATTTAATAAGCAAAATTCATTATACAGTAGACACCACTTATTGTGATCTTGTTGGTGCAAGGAAATTTGACAACATTAAGTGGCTGAGTGGCAATCAATGAAATGCTGAAAATGCAGTTTTTATTCAACCATATCAATTATATTGGAGGAAGTGATATTCCAAAGTCCTCTGTGTGGAAGTCACAGTTATGAGACCCACAATTTTTGTCTCCATGTTGTAGAATAAATGATAATCTTCTGTTAGTACCACTGCACTGTCCACAAGTCCTTTGGAGCACCATCAAGGCTAGATGTGTGTGGCTGAGAGATGCAAAGCCTAGCAGCAGCTTCTCCTTGACTAACCCTTGGCAACTCATCATAATGGCTGGTATGCAAGAACGTATAAAACCGATAAAATAGCTATTTTGGGGGGTATCACATGATAAGTTTGATAGGTTGGCTGTATGCGGAAACATTTTATACCTATCATGATAGGTATAAGAATCACTTCAATCTATTATGATCCAGAGCTTGTTTATTCTGCTTATAACAAGCTACCTGGGTGGATTGCAGTGCAATTTATTAACCCAATTAATTATGTGAACCGTTGCAACTTGTGCTGAGTGCAGTTACTCTGAGATAGATTAAATTCCATAGAATTCTTTGTATCAAGCCACGGCAGTCAGAATTCAAGCACTAGTCCGGTAAACGGGGTCAGGTTAATACCGTTAAATCATCACACAACACTCTGGTCAGTCATGTGAGCAGATACACATGGCATTGTTCCTGGGCAGGAGATGATGGATAGGAGGTTGTCATTAGGAAGATTCACAAATACCTATCATGATAGGTATGAAGATACCTATCATAATAGGCCTCACAATGGATACCTATAATTTGTTCTTGCATATGGAACTGAGCAAATAATAGACCTATCGCCTGATACCTATCATGATAGCTACCATGTAATAGGCAATCATGTGGTAGGTTCTTGCATACGGGCCAATGTTTCAGATGATTCACATTCTCATGAATGTCAATTCACTTTTGAGCCATGGCATACATTACAGGCCCCAAAATTGCCACACTGTGAACATGACCTACTGCTGGCTAAAGCACCCAAATGAATGAGCATTGTGCACATGTTGTTGTTAAGCAAGTGGAAATGTTCTAGACCATTTACAGCTCTCTCTTCATAGCCAGGAGGAAAAGTCAATCCTGGGGAATGATACCTTACCTCTTTTCCTTCCCAGAATGCCATACAATTTGGCAACTGATAGTGATAGAACAGTGGTCAGCATATGCCTTGATAACAATATCTGGTGATGGGTGATAACATAAACTGGAGAAAAATATATGTGAAATATTGGATTTGGTTTTGGTTTTTGAGATTTGATCACTTTGTCTGGCTGATAACAATAACCAATGATCATAATAAGAGGCATGTACTGTTTAGAGGTTTGTTATATTGAGCGTTGACTTTATTTATTTTGACTTTGACTATCTTCACCTGCTTTTGCTTCCATGCTATTATATGCTCGTAAATTTTCTACTACAGTGTGCTAATTATATACTCATCCCAATATTACTGTTTCCACATGATGTGCACCATTTTCACCACGAAGCTGCTTATATCAGACAATTCCTCCCTGCACTTTGGAGAGTGTTCTATGCGTAATTGGCTTGATTGTGCTGATGATGTGCTATTGCAGTTCCCCTAAATCTGCCAGCACGTTTAATGGACACACTGTATATTGAGTAATTTTTAGGGTATATAACTCCAGGCATGAAATAAAGTGATTCACCATTTACATTGACCCTCAACCTCCATCCTTGTTCACAAGATGATGGAATGCAATAGATAGACTGAAGAAATGAAATTGTGCTATGGTTTTGATCAGAAGGTCTTGTAAGAGCATGGTGTCACCTGCACAGAAAAGGATCTGGAGTTCAAACTTATTGACTCCATATTGATGATCACCGATATGGGATTCTAAGAAGGACCAGTATTTAAATAGAATAAGCAAAAGCAATCTCTTCAGAAACTTGGGCATGTGACTACAAGAACCATATCCCAGAAATTCCATCAAAAGACTGCCACAAAAAGACACAGGAAGGGAAGCCTGTCTGTCTTTGCAGCCTTGTATGATAAGCCCCCAACAAGATAAGTAACAATAAGTACTCTCTTTAGCTTTTCTTGATGAATCTTGACACCTTGCCATCTTATTACAGAATATCTTCAAAATGAAGCATCTTCCTAAAGAGTGCTTGAATTAGGACTTGGCAGAGGGTGAAGTCTTGATTACAGTATATAATTTCATTGCATCTCAGGTGAATAAAGTATGTTATATAATATTACTTAATCTGGTAAGCACTCTCAAAATAGACCCAAGTAATGTATAATATAATATTTCCATGAAAAAGGAGAAATATGTTAATGAAACTAACCTTCTGCTGTGATAGAAGTGAGGAGATGTGGTGAAGGAGGCAGGATTCCCTCATGCCAGACTTAGGGGAGCCTCCCACAAAGACCCATTTATACCTGGACATACCGATAGAGGAAAGCATTCTATAGCCCAGGCTTGCAAAGCACCATCTTCTCACTGGATATGACAACAGACTCACAGTTGGAATTGAGGAAGAAAAGTGGATGGGAGACAGATTGCAAGGTCCAAGAGCTTCATCAAATGAAGGTATGCTGGCAACCATGCACTCTCCCCACTGTGATTCCCACATCCACAAAGAGGAAGGACAATTTATTTCAATTTATCAACACAAAAAACATAATTCTATCATCTATTTTCATCAATTAGCATGGCTTGCAACTGTGCAGTGTATCACTGTGAGGATTTTCACATTTTAACTGGACAATGAAATGATTGAACAATGAAACTTGAGCATATTTTGTCAGGTACATTTCAAACTAAAGTTATGCATAAAATAGTACCTGTTATGTTATTCAGTCAATAAGAATGAAAACAGTTGGTAAGCTGAAACCAAGCCATCAAAAGACTGGGAGTCTCTCCATTAGTCAACTGAAAGTAAGAAATTATAATAACCTCCAAAATCTTTCATCCTCAGTTTGACTTAATCCACAGTTTACCAAGCAATAAATGTCACTGATACATTTTTTCCTCTCCTCACAGTTATTGAAGATAGCTTCAACTAATAAACTCAGTGAATTGCTCCCATTACCAGGCTCACACCCAGGCTCCCATTACCATTATTAGTAATATAAAAAATGTGCTCTAGCTGAGTTATGTACAGGGTGACCAATAAATTGGCTTAGCCACTGAGAGATGCATACCTCGGCATTTAGGGGTTACATGATCTTGAATCTCGAGAAAGATACATCCCCAAGGGATATTCTGAAGATGTAGAATTTTTCCTAAAATGATCAACTCATCAGTACTTCTGCCATGTTTCGGTTTTCCACATCTGTTCAATTTGTTGGAGTGAAAAAAATTCTCAGAAACATCCCTGTAGAAAAACTTTTGTCCTGAGAGAATGACCTCAAAAGGAGAACTTTACTTGAAATCACTAGTCAAAAAAGTGCATGTTGACAGAATTTCAGCTTTCTTTATGTTCCCCTTTCACCAGGGCAAAAAAATTGAAGTGATAAGACACTGTGCCAATTCTTAGTACAGTCATTGTTAACATTTGAACAAACTTGATGAGGATGATGTGATATGTGTTTCACATGGTATCACATCATCCTGATCTGGTCATGACTCTCATCAACCATGACATACATGCTCCATCATATATATAATAGATATATCAAGGTCATTAAGTTCACAGAAAGCTCTGCCATATATGATCTCAAACTCATTTGTTTCAATAAGGTGTGATGATATATTTTTTCCCAATCACATCACATACTTCATACATGGCCATTTCTCATAAAATAATTGATTTTTCTGTATGGGTAAATGCTGAGATATATATAGCTGAGTTGCTCAACTGATATATTAGTCACTCTGTACATCATAGATGAGCCACTTTTGCCATAAGACAAACCAGAAAAGTGATATCTCACCTATGACCATTGCATAAGAGATCTTCCAGGAGGTTGAGGATACGTATGGAATCAGAGAGAATACTTGGCCACAGGGATCCCAAATGTGACCCACTCATTCGAAGCAGGAGAACACGGTAGGATAGGAACACGTTTGTCAGAATGACAGGACTTTCTGATCCATTACGACTACACTCTGACAGCTTCTCTGCAAAAAGTGAAAATCCACCCACTCACATCTATACATGCATCTGTATACACTAACTTTTTCATCCAGGCACATATTCATGGATATAAGAGTTGTTGAGAAAGTGACAAGACTGACTTCTTGAAGCTGTTGAATTCTACCAAGTTTCAATTAGATACTTCTGCTTTGAGTATCATCCCTCAGATTTGATGCCATATCCAACAGCATGGCCACATCTCATAAAAGCAGAAAAACTAAGCCTTTGATAAGTGATGTAATTTAGGATACCTATCATGGCATCAGTAAACTTTGCACTTAACCCAGAAACATCACACATAGCTCAAAATTTCACCTACAATAAAATAATGAAATCACAGCAACTGAACCCTGTAAGAGCTGATACAGAGTGTGAAATAAATTTTCTATCCCGATTGAGTCATACTTTCACTTCAGGCCCAAGTCATCAACACAATGACACACAAGATGCAAGGAGCGTAGCAATATTCCAAGCAGTTATGCATAAATAGTTACCTCACTTTGGGTGAGTATAAATGCTCTCATGGTCATTGCTGAAGCATCTTGCCCAATCAAAATCTCAGACTTGAGAAGGCACTTGCCCCCATAAGGATCTTGCAATATCTCATCAATATCATTAGGAGATTTGTTTCATTGGAAGTGAAATTCAGGTGGAAAGCATCTGATTGAGCATGAAATATGAGATGGGAATGGAGGAGCAACACTAACCATCATAAACTCTGCAACAAAATCTCTGAATCCAGTGAAAGGGGACTTAGCTTGAAATTAGAAGAGTTGAAAAATGTGGGCCATGAATGATGCCAGCATGCACAAGAAAATCTGTACAGAGCTTCATCCTGTTACTTTCTGAACACCCAAACTATAATACCTTCATATTCTTGTTGCTGCATCTTCTTATTTCTTAAAACTTCACACCATCAAAATTGGGAAATTTCCTTATGTTTCCATCATTTCCTCTCATTCTGTTCAAGAATGATCTGATCTTTGTTCCTAAGGATTCCTTTGTTCATTTTATATGTGCATGTGACACTGCCCACTCACAAAGGCTTCAGCAGCTTTTTGCCCAACCATGCACAATTTAGCAATAGGATGTGCTGCAAAAATAGTTCTAATGACAAGAAAAGTCACCTGGGTTTATTGTGCTGCACACTCATACAAGGCACAGGGAGGTTTGCTTTAAATGCAACTATAAGCAATGCAACTTAAAATACAACAACATGAAATTTACATCCTTAGAAATACTTGTTGTCACCTTCCGGTAGAAACTTTCCCAGCATATCTCTTGAGACATCCAAAATATTCCAATTCAAAATATATATTGAGTGGGACAAGGACCTTCTAAAAATGAAGATGAAGAAGAAGAATGATGATGCTGAAATTCTCATCAAGGAGAATTTTAAAATTTATGCTCAGATATATATGAGGATATTCTACTAATACCTATTGGCGGATTTGCTGATCTGGTATGACTCCATACCAAAGCAGACCCTCTCCTTGGGAATGTAAACTTTCCTACCCATTTCAGTCCTTCCACAAGAGTAGGGATTCATCAATAAAAATTCAATGGTTTGGGAGGTTTACTGTATATCCTGGAACAGCTTTACAACCTAACAAGGATATGGAAATTCTTGAACAGCTTTGGATTGGGATCAGTTTCTGAATCAAAATTATTGTTATTGAAGAGGAAAGAGAGGTCTTTGCCTTCACCTTGAAATCACTTCTCTGACAAGACTTCTTCAAAGAAGAATCTCCACAATTTTCTTCTTGCTGAAGTGCATACCATTCATAGACTTCTGCACAATTCCTTGGAAAATTAGTAGACCAATCATAGGTTTTCTTTCTTACTCATTAGTTCCGCCTAGTCCTTGTCCCATCTGCAAGGTCGTTGTCCACCACAAGTAGCATATCCTCTTATAAGCTGTTTGTCATAGAGATAGGTTTGGTCTGCAATATCAACAGCAAGCCCATCAATGAGGAGAGCCTCAAAGACATCAATAGGGTCTTTTTCTGTCACCAAAACCTATCAGGAATCCGTTCTGAACTGAAGATTTAAAGGGTGGGCATTCTTCAGCCACATGGACCCAGTCCAGGTAGGTACATCACAATCACAACATCTGTAAATCTCAACGTCTTCTCTTCCATAGTCTCCGCTTTCGTCTGATGTTTCTTCATATTCTTCTTCAATTGAATCTTCACTCTGACACCCAAAAGCAAATTTATTAAAGACTAGAGAATTTATTTGCTCTTCAGGCAAACAAACTCGCTAAAGTGCCCCTGGGGGGTCCAAATTTTGAAATGCTACCTAGCCTGTGACCATCTGCAGACCAAATGAAGAAGCCATGCAAAGTTTGGTCGGACAGGGATCAGAGGCGCGGCCATGCATAAAGGACAGACAAAGACACAAGCATTCTGAAATATAATAGTGAAGATCGATACTGTCTCCATGATGCTCACCTTCGAGTACTCTTCCCATGTGATGATATTGCAGTCAAACAGCTGACAATCAGGTAGAAAATACATCCTGATACCTGACAGCTACATGGAAAGGCTGAAGATGAGTAGCCACATCCTGTCAGAAGGGTGCAGGACACACCCAAGCCACCCCAAGTGGAAAATTCCCAGAAATATGGAACTTACTCACGGGAACGTCTACAGACGTCCATCCCACCGGTATGCAGTATTTGCGAACGTCTTAAGACATCTTCCCCAGTTAAGGGGTTAAAGTGTGGGCTGAATGGAAGATTTCAGCATGTTCTAAGCATCATTACAAACATAATGCAAGCACTGCAGGTGATTCTAAATGATGAATACCAGTGATGCCTCCAGCAGCTGAAGGAATGCTGGAAAGACTATGTAGATGCAGAAGGGGACTACTTCAAAGGAAATAGCCATCAGTGGCCCTTGAGAGCTACCACATCATCATGAAAAATTCAGTCCTGGAACTTTTAGATCAGACCTTGTAAAACTCTTACTACTCACATACCTTGTAAAGAAGGCAAGAGCAGATGAAATTGGTCCCTTTCTGATGAGAAGATGATGAAAGCCAGGCGTTTGATGAAGAATGCTCTTCCTTCTTCCTCTGATTCACGTGAAGTGAAGATGTTAAGTGAACTCCCCTGTGAAGATCCTGCTCGACCTATTCCAAGCAATAGCCCTTTAGCTTCATCAAAAAGTCGCTTAAGTGAAAATGGCTCACAAGCCAATGTCATAATTGACAGGAGCAAAGGTTGGTACACTGTCTCACCTGAGGAGGATAATACAAGTTTCTACATTGGTCCTCATGTATAGACCGTTGAAAATAACTGTAGGCATTTCAATGCATAAAAAATACAGAAGGATTCAGGGAAGACCTAATAGTAAATATTTTTTCAATTTCTCAGCTTTTACTCATTTCAATGATTATAAGGACACACTTTTTTAAATTATAAGTTCCTACTGTTATAATGTAATTATAAGCTTTTTTTTTCTTAAATACTGACAAATGTTAATATTACTAAGTTACTATGATAGAAATATAAATACTGCACATACTGTAGGTATTTCAAGTATTTTGAACTTGATGATCAGAACAGGAAAGGAAAATTTATACTTTGTGCCCAGCTTTAGCAAGTTGATCAACTGTTGGTATATATATCTTTATTACCCCAGGGTTTCGGCATAGTGAGTATGGACCAGCTTGAATCATCATCCATGGGCATGCAAACAACATAAATAGAAATGTACTTGAATACAATAAAAAATCACTATTTGAAGAATACAAATGACCAATACTTTCATTAATTTCCATAATGTTTTTTTTTTCAATCCTGCAGTGACCTTATAGGAATTGTAGCCAAACAAACAATAGTCAATGGATGCAAGGGGATGTGTTAGGATAAAAGTAGTAAAAATTTAAGCAAGTGGTTAAATGATATTTCTGCAACAGATTATATCTCTTACTACCGCAATCTCTTCCTAGCCACTCCATTGGGGAGATATCATGGAAAGAGGAACTTGATATCTTATATATTTTTTAAATATAAGGGCAACCTTAACCCTTTCGTGGACAGTGGAAAGTCTTCTTCCCAGCAAAGTTTCAACACTCCTAGTGTCATGGGAAGGCTTCCTCCCACTATATCACACTTGTATCATCTACTGGTGACCAAGATAACTCCATGAAAATTTTTCCTGGCACCCATGAGGCATGTAGGGAAGCCATTTTGAAGCATATATGTAAGCATGTGACCTGTTTAGGCAACACTTACAAAAAGCAAAGTATTTCATGATAATTGCAGGACAAAATGAAGAAAACAAAAAATATTTCCTATATTTTCTTTAGCATCCTTTGAGACTATTTGTATGATAGGTCAGCTCTCAGTAATATACCTGTATATATTGCATATATAGTTTATAATACCGAGAATTTACTAACATACCAGTAGTTTATATATGTATACATGTACTGTATATAGGCATATACCTATACACAGATGAAACTTTTTCTTAATTTACAGACTGTCTGAAATTTCTCAAAACGGAAGCCTCCATAAATGGAAAAAGAAAATGTAAGGAATTTCGTCATTTGCATTTAAGAAAAAATTTTCCCAGAAAAAGGGTTAATGCCTTAATCAGTAGTGAAACACAATGGGAAAGAGGCAAAACATTTTTCAACAGGTATCAATGATTCTTAACCCATCAAGCAAGTATGATGAATGTATGCATCATAGGATTTGTATTGCCCATTCTACAAGGGGTGTTTGGAAAGCAATGCCTGTTTGGGTATAACTTGTTTATTTCCAATCTTACAAAAATGAAATTTAATCCTTTAATGCATGATTTTTTTTTTTTTCCGAAAAAAATCTGGTGTGTTCTACTTACGACCTAGAACACGGGAAAAAATTTGTTTTCTTAAATTTGTAAGCAGTAGGCCCGAAAATGTTATTGTTACTCATTTGCTACAAAGCATTTTCAGCTTACTAACCCATGCTGCATGGATGCTAGAGAGGTCAGTCAGTCTGTCAACATTTGTATATACCTCAATGCCAAAAAAAATTTAAAAATACAATGAGCCTGGACGCTGGATAAGCATAAAGTTGAAGGCAACTGCACTAAAAATGTCAATCTGTTACACAATGAAGCGAGGTGTTTTTAATTTGCCTGCCACCAGGAGTGTATGGCACCTAGCAACTGCATGGTTGCTAGGTATAAGGACCAGACTGTTGCACATCTGCTACGAACTGATTTACCTCAGGAGCTCACTACCTATGCATCCTAAAAATGTTTATTTGGTATGTAGCATATCTGGTATGTCATGCATTAAAGGGTTAACACATTCAGAGAGGTGACATAGAAGAAGAATTTTATACTTTTCAATGTAACCTCCAAGTGGAATAGCTATAATTGCAGCTACACATTTGCATCATCCCTCAACCCAATGTTCAAATCCTGTTTGGTAAAAATCCACATCTATTTTCTTTGCCTGTTCCTTTACAGCAACTTTAATTTCATCTGGACTATGAAATCATCTTCCACACAAACCATCCCAAACATTAACCCAAACAAGTTAAAATCACTTGGGGCATGGAAGATGATTGAGGGAAAGAGAAAAGGAAGCAGGGGCCTCCCTATAATGGTGCCATGCTCTTCCCCCATTCCATGGGAATATGGCTGATTTTCACTTCATTGCTCCATCTCATTACATCTCAGTAGACATGCAAAAATATCAAACAAAGTTTCAACTTTGTTTGATATTTTTGCATGTCTTTAGGAGTTTTCCTGGCATGGCTCATCAATAAAAGCCTTCTAGGTGACCATGGGCAATTAGTATGACTCCATAGCTGCTATTGAAATTGGGGTGTTTAGCAAGTTTTCTCTGTGAATAACCATCCCACACCTTCTAAACTCTAATTTATGTCATGGTAGACAAGTACAAACTTGTGTACCAAACTTCATCAGCATCGATCAGCTCCTTCATGATTGTGGTTTTTGTGATGAGTATACATTTAAACTTTTTGGATTCTACCTTGTTCAGAAAATCACACACTTGATGGGTTAAAACAGGTTTTGAAATGATAGGGTAACTTGGGGGAATATGGACACCAAAAATGAAATCAGGTTATAGTGTCACGTCTAGGTGAAATGAAACTTTGCCAATATTCAGAAAATATTGATTGATGTCTCCTTTATTTATTCCCAACAAGATCCGTGCAGAAAAGTAAATGGGAAAAGAGTTTTCGGGACCTCTTCACATGGGTCCCAAGAGGCCATATTACCCCTATTGTTGGGGGAATATGGCCAGGCATTAGGGGGAATATGGCCCAACAAAATGAAACCTGGTCATCATGGTCCATCAAGGTTGAATTTGACTTTTACAATGTTTCTAAAATATTGATTGATATCTCCTTTGCTAAATGCCAGCAAGGCGTATGCAAAAAAAACCATGGTGATGGCGTCTTTGGGTCTTTTTTGAGTAGGTCTCAAGAGGCCATATTAACACTATAGTTGGGGGAATATGGCCACTTCTGAAAAACAACTCCAGATTGTCCAGGAACGTGTGAAATGTGCTGGAACATGCTGAGTACCTTGAAACATGATAAAGGACTCTCAGCAGTTGAAAAAGAAACATTAACTGCACCGAGGACAAACAAAGAAGTCGACATCATTACCTGACTCGAGGAACCGTTGTGGAAAACAGGATTGCAACGCTTTTGCTTTTGAGTAACAATGCACGTGATTGGGAGACAATATCTAGAGACTGTGTATGTGTAAGAGGAATGATCAAGCATCGATTAAAGTGACTATGCGCTACGAGTGTAAAATAAGAGGTCTTACATTGCAGGAAAAATGTTGCGTTGTTTTTGCATGTATGGATAAATAGTGCCAAAAACCACAGAATGTCCTATTTTTACGAGGGATATTTACTTGCATTCAAGTTTCGTGCAACAAAAATTTCTGGAGAATGTCAAGCGATGCAGAAGGAGGTGCATAAGCATACCCTCATGCACGGCCTCCTCATGTACTGCATATTTCGTCCAGATGTCCAGTACGTCTATCCATATATCCAGAGGAAGTGCATTGGATGATCTCTTGCAGTCTGAGATCCCACACGAAAGGAAGCAGACAGTATCAATAGGTCTGTGCGGTGCTAACATGAAATGAAGGATGTGTCCATATTACCCCAAATCGAGATGGCCATATTTCCCCATATTGGCTCGCATTACAAAATTGACAACACTGCCTACAAACCGCAAGTGAAGGGGCTAGCACTTTGCACAAGCATTCTGGAGAGACCATAGAAGAACTTAGAAGTAATGGTTTCTGTATCCATGCTGCTATTAGGAAATATACGCTTATGTTGCTCAAGGCTCATATTAGTTCCACGGTCATGAGTCAAAGAATCGTATGCATATGACTTTTAAGACATCGATGTATCCCGAATTCCTGTGGGAACTGGATTGATGAGCAGGTCTACACATTTCGACAATTGCATGTACTCTTCGATAGAACTATTTTTTAAATTTGCCCAAACTAATTATTCAGTCTATAAGGGGATTCCTTGTGAAGGGCCATATTCCCCCAAGTTACCCTATGCTGTTTTTGCCATGCAATGTCACAGGTTCAAAGCACATTGAAATTCTTTGTATGCATAAGCTGTCTATAGTCTGACTTGTGGAAAATGCATCAACTCCTCTTTGCTAGAGTAAGAGACTTGGGCATACCAAGGAAATCATGAAGCAGGGATTTTTCTTGAGTGAAGAGCTGGTCAACAATATTCTTCCACAGTCGTAAACAATTAACTTCCATACTAAAGAAAGTAGGGTGGAGAAGAAGTTCAATGGTATCCTTCCGCCATGCCTTTCTTGTTCCTTGGTAGTTGCTCAAGTTTGCAAGAAGCTGACTCACTTCCTGCCTCCATAATTCTCCAGCTCTGATGGAAAACAGACATGAAGATAGAAGTGCTACAGTCATAACAGACTTCATGCATGCTTTTATGCATGGAAAAACTACTTAAGACTTGGCCAAAAGAAAGACATGCAGAATTTTGTTTGCTACATCCACTGGCATTTACATTTGAACAGTCAAGGTTTGACCCTTTTTTCAAACATGCAGGAGTGTTTCAGTCAGCTGTAGGATCCCCAGTAGCACCCAATTTTTGCTGCTCACAAGCCAACAACAGGTGGTTCCAAAGCAAAAGATGTAACACCAGACTTCGATCAATGAAAAATTAGAATATGCACCCTACATTTGGTTCAGTACAGAAAATTTACATCCTCAGCACTTCATAGGAAATATTCCTGTACCGACTGCAGACCATGCCTTTCCTATCACAGGTGAGGCAAATTAGGGCAATATATGTTGTCTTACTGATTAGCACAATATGACAGCAGTTTTGCTTGCCTTATCTCCTTCTCAATTCTGCCTGATTTTACTTAAACTTGGGATACCATTCTTTCAGGAATAAAAGTATAAATGATCACCTTCCTTCATGCCAAATCACAATTTTGCTGCTCAAAGCTAAAATGACTTTAGGAGATTTTCACTGTTATTGACACAACAAAGAAAGTGACAGACATAAAATTTGTACATGGCCATGATGATAAATATAATCTATTCAACACACATAGCTTTCAGAGCAGTATGACTCCTCCAATGAAGAAAAGAAAGCAAGATTGACAAAAAGTGAATACTCACAATTGTGAGTGCAGATAAGGGAAGAGAGAAGCAACAACACTTGAAAGGAGTGGAACCATGCGTTCCTTTTCCTCATTCTGATATATGATGTCCAGGAAAGAAGCAATGTGATGACCTAGGACATGGAGAGCTTCAAGGCTTGCCTTGTCCTTTTCTGTAAACCCTGTGATTATGGGAAAGAAAATCATTGAATTTTACCAGGTTCATAACAAATGAACAGCTTGCAAACATGATGTTGTTTAAGAGAGGATAATGTCAAGTCCATAAGTGCAGGAGCAGAAGGTTTTGTTTCTCAAAGATTCTCCATCAGTATATAACACCTCTTATGAGGAGCTGACTATCAAATTCAAAACTTTATGCTGAATATTTAACATTATACAACAAATCAAGTTTCAAGAAACAGGGTGGAAACTGGGTATACTCTCTCTGCTCTTGATCATTATGACTGTAATCACCATCCATCTGTGAGTGATGAGGTATATGAAGTGCTATGGTTAGAAGTGATGACCCACATGAAAATTCCATATATGACAGGGTGTATGGTTCTAAATGGCCATATATGATCATTTATTTGCCATTTACCACCATGTATGTATTCATATATTATCAATTGTATGGCATATAATATATATTACCTACATTACAGTATCAAGAGTTATGGGCTAATGGCATCATGTCTGACATATGGTGAATATCCACAGATAAGTCTTACAGTTAACTGTTACAGTTACAGTAAACACAGCACAAGGTCAGTGGTGTATTTTGGCTGAAGAGCCAGGGGGCAGGGCAGCAGAGTGGGGATTGTCAAATCCCAGCTGAATGATATTTGGGGAGTAAAATATTACCTCCAAGGGGGCACCAAGCCCTGTCCCAGGGGTGCCGGGGGGGGGGGGGGGGGCGGGGGGG